AGAGAGAGAGAGAGAGAGAGAGAGAGAGAGAGAGAGAGAGAGAGAGAGCTCTGCGGAAGCTGGTAATTCGCAGTCACAACCTTGCGGCTTATAATCGGATAGAAAACTTACCCCTTTCTTTCAGTCCTCATTATTTATTGACGTGCAGGGCGCTGAAACAGCGGTCTCAGCGGTCTCATGCGTGCTTGGTTTCCCCCAACTCCAGCGCCTTTCCTTTCGTCTCCACGTCCGCCTACCACCTTTTACACTTGTTGCAGGCAGAGAAGGGGTCTTGGCCAGCAACTGACCACATTCAGTGAAAAACGATTTTTAAAAAAAAACACCAGTACTTGGGAGGCACGTTTCTTCGGGGGCCATGTCCCACTAACGCCATTGAGACAGCTCAGCTCTTACTTTTTAACAACGTGTGACGTGAGGCGACCGTGGAGATCACGTGCCTTCCTGGATATCTAGCAGCTAATTTTCGGGAATAATGACAAGTTTTAATGAGTTTTGTGATCCTTTTTCTGTTGAAAAAAGCAGGGAAAATTTTGTTTTCCCGAATAGAACCACCCCTACCTTTTTTATTTTGATGAAAAGTCCGTTGACCTAGCTGCCCCACTCGGAGTGGGCCAGCTACCATCTTCCCCAGAACATAACGCATATCCGTTGTATTCGAATATACAACGTCACGGTGTAGCATAGATTGCTTTCGATTCGAATACAAAGCATATACTTTCTAGTTGAGAAGCCCTTATTTTCGAGCACAACCCACATGCCTTCTATTCGAAGTTTTTGAAATTTTTGAAAACTCGAATACAACGCATATGGGAGTAGGGCAGATTGGGGATTGTCTGAGTCTGGGGCCGGGGTTGGAGAGTTGGTCCCCTTCATCCCCAGCGGGGGCAGACAGGGACAAGGGGTGGGCAAAGGCAGCCTCTAGGAGGGGATTGGTTGCCTTCGCATGTGGTGGAGGGAGGGGAGGGGATCTGTTTTATGTTGGGGCCGAGGGATTTTCCTCGGTGGAGGCAGCATGAGACAGGGTACAGTGGGTATGGATTGGTTTGATCTGCGACCGATGGAAGCGTATCCTTTTCACGATCTAATAAACTAGACGCGACAAAAAAAAAAAAAAA